AGGTGGTGGTCGGCTTCAAAATTCTTCATCGGATCACCAACCAAGCTACTCGCTACGGATGTTCATGAGTCTGTGGGACATTTAGGGAATTCTCAATGGTCGACCACTGACTCTCAACAGTGGCAGTTCTATTGATTCAGAATTTTTGACTACTAACTATTTGTTACTTCGATTGCATTTAAATTTGCCACCGACTATCGTGTTGTTTATTTAAAGTGAAAAAGCCTTTGAATTTGTGCACCAGATGTGCGTGAACTTTGAACGCTAGCGGACTAACTTAGGGGACTCTTACGTTATTGGTTATTTGAATTCTAGTCGCCCAATACTTGAAGTAAACTTAAGGGGCTGGAATGTAGCAACTTGAGTTTGCATTTCTATTTATTGTCAACTAACTGCGAAAAGATTTTATATTGTTTTTCTTTCAATTGAAGTACCATTGTGATGTTATGTTTCCATTCAATTAAGCCCGCCTTTTTGAATGAGGTTGTGTAAGAATTAAGTTGTGCTGGTAGCGTTTTATTTCTCGCCAGTATAAGCTTTGTTTTCGTTACATACTTCTCACTAGCGCCGTTTTAATTTTGTGTAAGAGGTTTACTACCGGACCTAGTAGTAAGCCACAAATTGTAAGTTCGTTTCTATTTCGTGTAGCTCTGTCGTTGGTCTTGTTGTTGTTATATTTGTACTTAGGTATTTGTATTAATTGTTTATTTCCAGTCGAATCACACGTATACGTGTACACATGTATACATGTGCACATCTTTACATCTAAATATTCGTCTATCGGTCAAATAGGACACTGTGCATTCATTTTTTGGCGTTAAACGTATAGTATTTAGTTACAGTGAACCTTTCACACCCCGATAAATCTCGACCTTAATCGACAAGGGTTTTGCAAATGCCACAAACCATCACACTTCTTAAATGAATGAGCCCAAACGTTCTAGTAGTGTCATTCTTTGTGCACAGCCCCTTGATTCCATGACACCATTTGCAAGAAAACAACACCCAAACGCTGTGATTGGTGCAAGATATCCAAATACTGTGATATGATTGGTGCAAGATACATACCGTTGTACGGTAATCTGATTGGTGCTCTTTTTATCGATATTAGAAAACCACTACGCTCCACCTTAAAAATTAAATAAAATTAATTACTAACATATATAATATTAACATATAAAAATTTGAAACTTTGTCACTTGACCTCACATTTCAAACTTGGCCCCGTCCATTGATATCTATGTTCTAATGAGGTTAACACTGAAAGGTTAGTTTTGTTCTAAGATTTTATGGACCTGTCTGTAGTTCTCTGACATTTTGGGTGCTCTTTAGTGATAGTGTTGACGATGATAATAATTATAATGATGCTGATAGTTATAATAATATCAGTGATAATAATGTTGGTGACAATGATATGAATAATAATAACAGTTTTAGGAAGTATAGTCTATCATACCCAGAACCTCCGTGAAAAAAATTATTTCAGCTAACTTATTATTATGTTGTTTGAGGTTGGTATGATGATTAAATAAAATTTAAAATTACTTGTCGATCATTTTAATTCGTATTTTGTTTTTTTCCAGTTCAAGCAGTTTCAAGTACAGTTGCCACTTCATACCAAACAACTCCCGCAGGTAAATGTATTTTTATAGGCGTTCTTTTGACCACCATATAAGACTATGTCATCATAATAGCACGTTCTTTTGGTGTTACGAAATAATTTTGAGTAAGAAAAAAAGTGAGTTAAGTCACTAAGGGTCTGGAACTTAGCGAAGGACTGTAGACTCACAAACAGTCATAACACAGACTACTAAATCTATATCAAAATTGAAAAATTTGTTAGCAAAGTTGTTACCATTCCGTTATTACTTTCTTCTAATACAAACTTATACGGTTATTTGAATCTCGTCAGGTGTCGTGCAGCGACTCAAAAGATCTTTATGAGTAAAAAGGCTGTACCTTCCACAATGGAAGGAGTAAGAATAAGCATAATTATAGATGTATAAAAGTATTCTTTTTATTTCTCTAAAGACTCCTTCCAGTTGTGGTTTATATTTTGAAGCATATACTGGCCATCTTCAAACACAAATAACTTAATTCATGTGGCGATGCAAAACCTTTTTTCAAGTGGGGTGGGGGAGGGGGGAAGGAACCAAACTATATAATTCAATCACTCTTTGGGCCTACTTACACATGTTACAAGTTTCTGTATCAAATATTAAAACATTGTGAACAAGGCTAATCGTAACATGTTCATGCTACTGCGTGCATTATAACATAAGTGAACTCTCGAGCTTAGTAGCACACTCTGTCAGTACGATCTCTGCTGGGATTTTGGACAATGTTCAAGCAGAATTATTGTTAGATGGAACCACTTCTCAGCAATTTTTGTGAATCAAGGCTCTTCATAATTTTTATAAATGTAAAAGGACACGGCTTTTCTTTAGCTTCAGAAAGCACAGAAGTTTACCTGACAGCGACAATACAGGGGAACTGTAGCAGACGTTCAGAAGTTGCCGCGAAATTTCCAGAAATGGTTAGATAATCTACTTGATCCGTATACCAGAGTGTACAGAATACTGCCATAAGATTTATCATTAAAAGGGAATCTCAATCAATCTGCTCTTGAACGAAATCTCAATATTTGTGTCGAAACATATTGACATTTTGAACGATCTTCAATTATGAAAAAAGTATTCGAATTTACATTTTTTCTTTAAATGTCCTTTTAGGCTTGTCGAATTGCCTTTAAGTTTGGCTGCTCATCCGCCAACACCGTGAACACCAGGTAAGGTGCAGTTTGTCTCAACACTGAAACAGCAAACGCTAACGCAAATCTGTGTTCTGGAGCCGGGAGGAGCTTTATCTCAGTTTTGCTCATTTAAGTGTTAAAACTGGTGTTTCTGCTCTAAAAACTCTTAGTTAATGCAAAATAATCTTCATTTGAATTACATTTTATGTACTGTACAGCAATAGATTGACACAGAATGACATGAATTAATTTATTTACCTTGGTTTATTAGATCAAAAATACTCTTTTGGTTAAATCTCAATGTATTTTAACACTTAAAAGTCACTAAAGTTCAAATAGAATGTCGAAGAGGGCACCGTGCCGTAAAGAGCACGATGGATAAATTATGACTGATTATGCAATTGAAGCCGTGTGGTTACTCAATTTTTGTCACGCAAGGTGCGCCTTCGTCGAACTGCTCTCGCTTCAAACGCTGTCCTTGCGGTTACATACTTTGTTTGGCGCTGGATTCTTTCTAATCTTTAGGCTACTCATTTTATAAAAAGTCAGAAAAGACCACAAGACGCCTATATCTCCAAGTGTAACGTTGCGTAAATTGAGTATTGCGGGTCTCCTAATTCATAAGCTGTTTAATTATTACTCAAGTAACGTTATTTAAATTAAGGTAGCGACAATTTTTTCACAGAACAAAGACAACAACAAGGTCCCATAATGAAAATGTTATTTATTGTAACAAATGGCTTTGTATTATAATCGCAATAAGCTTTTAAGGGAGAGATAAAACAAATATTAGGAAAAGGTAATGTAGTTATATTCTCTAAATTTGACAAATGTTTGAATAGGTGAAGAATGTAAAAGCGGTTGAAGAAACTACTTGCAAACCTAAATGAACTCTTCCCACGATTTCGTTTTGTTTAATACCGACTGTATAATCAGTCATAACTTATGCGTCTTACTCTTTTCGGCACGGTGTTCGATTCGGCATTTTACTTCCTTTCCCCCTTACCTAGGTGTGGCAGTGTTGTTCTCGACTTCATGATGAGGTTCAATCGAAGTGTGGTCGTCAGCAATGTTTTGACTGTCCTGTTGGATGCTGCAAGGCAAGACAAATTCGGAGGTTTCAAAGTCGATCCAGAATCAATTAAACAAGTTTTTATACCCACAGACGACTCGGAAAGCACAATAAAAGGTAAATTTTACGAATAAATATTATTGTTAAATGTTTACACGTATTCGTACGAATATGGACTTTTTAGAATTATATTTCGTATCTGTTTAATTAAACAACTCAATACTGTGAGTCATATGTCTCCAAGTTTTGTTTTTGTCGCTGTTGTTGTTTTTATTCAATTAAACAAAATCTTACTTTTAAAAATAATTATAGAGATAGTAGCACCTTGCTTTTCCTTAATACCTAGCCAGTTAGAGTTAATGGTTTTCGTTCATGAGCGTAAGCTATGTAGTGAGAGCAGTGTATTGACCACGATCACTGTAAATGTTTTTTGAATGTTATCTGATCAAGCTTTGTAAAATGAATCATTTTAGGTCCTGAGGAATGTAACTACCCATCTAACAACGTCTCGTTAGCCATAAATGGGGTTCTTGCCTTCATAATCGTTCTTCTAATTATTTACATAATCTGGCTACACAAGAAAGGTAGGTAAAAAATCCATAATCTATGATAGAGGGTTTGGCTGCAAGATTCATTATTAAGCAAAAGCAAATCTTGACCCACATTCACAATGTTTGCCTTTTTTTCCTTTCGTTCTTTTTCAGGCGCTGTAGGTAAACAGAGGTAAGAATTTGCTGCCACTTCGATTGTGTCCTTGTAATGTACCAGATATGGTATCATCTTATGACAAACCTCCACTTAAAACTGATGCAATTCTCAGCTCGTCATAATTATTTATATACTTTCTCAATTGTAGGACTTATGAAGATAAAAGAGGTGTTTCCTACGTAAGTTACAGCCAAGACGTTGAGGTCATTTTAGTGTGGCCAGTAATTATGTAATCTCACTTTACCTCTACTCGCTAGAAGGAAATAAAGGCTTACAACAAATAGGAAGGAAAAAAGGTGTAGTTCTACCAAAAAAGGCATAATGCATTAGTGACAGGTACAATAGAATATAGGAAGAAGTTTGACTCGATAGGGTCTTTGTCCTGGGATCATGTCATTTACCAAGCTACTCCATGGATTTTCCTTCGGTTGTTTCTGGATTAATTGCATGGTTTCACTTCATAGATCGCTAACTGGTCTGCACCCGGTTGATATTTGTTTTGTAAATATTTTTTTTTTCACGCCGTTTTGGCCGTCTGTTTATCTTGATGCCTCACTTTCAAAGCGTTAGTCCTGGAGCTTAGTACAGCAAGAGTTTTTTTTTTCGTGTGCGCATTTGTCAAAAAATTGCACTACCAATTGACGATCCTCATGTTGCAGTTTGTAGCTTCAGCGAATATGCTATGAACCTCGATCACTCCATTGGACATGATAGCTTCAATGGCAGAGAACAAAGTGTTTGTAATAAGAAATATTAGTAATATTAAAAGACAAGAGATT